CGGCTTAATCTCTCTGAGCCTCAGCAAAGGAGGATAACAATACTTACTCGATAGTGTTTGTGTGAAGAAAAAACTAAAATAATATTTCTAAAGGTACTTGAAGTATTCAAATATTGCCTGACCTAGTGATATGTTATTTATGAGAGTCCCTTGGCATCTCTAATGTATATATGTACATATTTACTTACATATAAAAAACTTATGTATATATATTTTATATAAGTTTTTCAAACACTCTGATTTCTCTAACATGCTAAGACCATGGTCTCATAATCACCCACACTTTGTAAGGCATAAAACAAATAACAGCATTTTATTTCAACTGCAATTTTGCTTTTCATCACTGGAAACTGAACAGTGTTGAGATGGAAAATTTGGGATAGCCTGCTCAGACCATTTGATTCTCAAATATAATAAAACACTTCTTTAAAAAAAACACCCTTAAACTAATGCCACTAGAAAAAAAAAAAAAAACCTGCAGCTAAAAGTGATTCCTGCTCCTGAACATTCTTCCAATCAAGTCAACTAACAGATTGTCTTCAAATAGGTGCCATGTGAATAAATGAGAAATTACAAAAAGATCAGCACATCTTTTGTCTTAGCTTTTGTAATCAGATGGTTACTTGAACTTCGTCGAATCACAAGTGATTTCCTTTTCCCCAAGTTTAAGCGTAAGCACATCCTTCTTCTTCTGTCTTGTTTTTGATTTTTCCTTTGGAGCATCCCATGGAAGTAACATCAAAGTGATATAAAGTTTATCCTTTCTGCCACCATGCTCTTATGTGATAGTCTGATAGACAAGACATACGTTTCTGTTCTCAGCTCTAACAATATTGAACCCCCATAGCCAAGAATTGATTATAAATAGTTAATTAAGAGTTCTAGGAGGAAACATCTCATAGAATCGGTGATTGGCTTTAAAATTAAGTAGAAGGAGAACATGTGCTCAGATGCTCACCCTTGATGAGGCACCTCCTTTGTAAGGGGTCCCTATGCTTTCCTGGGAGCAAAACACCCTTAGATCCCTGGCCAGCTAAGAGATGAGCCTCGGTGCCACGATCTTTTTCTAGGACGCGTACCTGGAGGTCGAGGGTGGCGTGGGTTTTTCAATCACGTAAACACTTAGGTGAAGTCAGAGTTCCTTGACTGTAACACAAAGCGGGTCTTCACTACATTTAAGGATGGTTGGCTGACCTTCTTCCATTTTTCTATGCCAAGTGCAGAGCAGTAACTCAATTAACATTTTCATTTCGATCGAATTAGTGATCTTGCTCTTGACCTTGTACTCGGAGACCTGAATGATGGGGGGTTAATTTAGCTGAGAATATAGCCTTTTGCCATATTCATAACTAATGTATGAGCAGACTTAGGGGAAAAACATGAAAAACTAAAAGAATATAAGATCCATGTCTGGTCCTAGAGAAAGCTAGAATTAAAAATAATTTAGGGGATGGGCTTAGGTCTTATTAAGTATATCTGATGTTTCCCAGCTGGAAAAAAATAGGTGCCTGGGAAAGTGAGCTGGAGGGCAAGAGTTCAGGGATATTTAGTCTCACTGATGATGCACTTAGGTTTCACTGGAGTCTACGCATGGATACCTCTTACTTGCATCAATCTTTACTTCTATTCTAGTGATCCCCCCAAACCATATCCCATATTACATAAAAGCCATCTGAACCTGAGTAGTTTCAACATTATGCTACATTCTTTTTCCCTCCCGATTTATTGAGACATGATTGGCATAGACCATCATGTAAGTTTAAGGTACACAGTGTGATGATTTGATATACATGCATACTTTGAAAGGATTACCACACTAAGGTTAGTAAACACATTCATGACCTCACAAAGTTACTATTTCTTTCCTTTTTCTCCTCCTCCCTCACCCCTCCTTCCTCCTCCTTTTCCACCTCCCCTTCCTCTTCTTCTCTTTCTCTTTCTCCTTCTCCTCCTCCCTCTCTGCTCCCCCTCCCTGTCCTCCTCCTTCTCCTCCTTCTTCTTCTTCTTCTTCTTCAGAACTTTTAAGATCTACTCTCTTAGCAAGTTTCAAGTATACAATACAGTATTGTTAGCTATCGTCCCCATGCAGTACGTTAGATCTCCAAAACTTATTCGTCTTGCAGCTGGATGTCTGTATCACATTGTATTTTATATGGATTTTCCAATGTTGTAAGAGATCTTTTTGAAGATTCCCTTAAATTTTTTTTGACATACAAAACATTGAAATTTTCTTTGAAATAATAAAAGGCTAGAGGTGAAATGCTACACTGTATCCATGGTATAACACCGGTGCTATTGTGTTTTGCATGATGAAGGGAGATGTAAGGTAGATAGGAGAACGGGATGTTAGTTCTAGAAGGGACTGCGGAGGTCACCTGAAAGCTCCCATTGTACAGGTGAGAAGCTGAGGCCTGGAGAGCATTTATAACTTGCCAGGATCACATCCAGTTTTCCTATATAATTCAAAAATTTTATGAACCATAGTTATATCATATAATAATTATACAACATTGTTTTTAATACATTTAAACAAACTTACTGTAATTGACATTTATTAAATTATATGATTTGCCTTATATGTTTTGACAAAGCTAAAGACTGAAAAATGGATTATCACACAAAGGCCCCTTCCTCTGCCCAGGAATCACACTTGATGTGATGGATCCTGACTTGTTGATTTCCCTCCTGTGTTCAAAGCATTAGGCTATGTCTCACTGCTTGGGATAACAAAGCATCTCATTTGTCTTCCGAACACAATTTACTTAAGGAGCTTGCTAGAAACCGTTCCCAAACTGAGATGTAAAAGATTTTGCTAGAAAATAAGTATTTCAAGTAGGAGGTTGTTGGATTTCCGTTTCTCAGGGTTCTGGAAAAATACAACATGTATCCTACTTCCCAAATCCGGAGATAAAACTTCACTGGTTCTTTTCACGAAAGAAAGTTCATGGAAAGAAAGAAGATTCAAAGCAATCATAAGCCTAAGAGGGTGTGTTCGATTTCCTTTTGTTTTTATTTTCTCTTAAACACACACTGATTCTAAAATATATTTGTTCATCTCGAAAGTCACCAGCAGTCAAGAACAGTCTAAAGAACCAAGTGGGAGGATTCTCCCTACCAGCCATCAAAACTTACATAAAATGATAAGAGCAGGTGTGGGACTGTTGCAGTGACAGACAATCCCATGGAACAGAACCGAACCCTAGAACAGTTCACCTGGATACGAGCACCAGGTTTTGACAAAACCGACAGGGCAGAATGGAGAAGGCTGAGTGTTTCAGTGGGTGGTGCTGGGTCAGTTAACGTCCGCTTGGAAAAGCAAAGGTGACCCCTCTCTCGTGTCAGAGACAAAAATCCACTCCGGGTAGCTTATTAACTAAAATGAAATATGGTAGCAAAGGTTTCAGAAGATGAGGCAGAGATTTCCTACGTGAAATGCAAATAGCCTATCTGGGAAAAAGTGAAAAAGATTAAGTTGGATTACAGCAAAAAATAGGAGTGTATGTTCATCAAAACACACAACTGAGAAAATGAAAGGCAAGCAGAAAAATAGAAGATATGTGCTATATTCAGAATATATCCAGAATTTCTACAACTAAATAAGGCAAAGACAAGCAACTCTGTGTGCAGATTCAGCTAGATGCTTTTCCTGTGGAGAGTAAGTCCATTCCTGCTCGGAATAGTTGGAGCTCATTTTGGGGGAGGATTGTGTTTCCCAGTCCTGGGATACTGTCTATTTCTGAATGTGAGCTGTAGATTCAAAATAAAGACTGTAATAGCCCCGTGATGGTAAAGACAAAGAAACAGGTCTTGTATGTGATTCTGGTGTTTTGATTTGTGTTCAAAACTGAAAACAAGAAAACAGCACAAACGGCAAGGTGTACCTTTGTTTGGAGAAGGGCAAACTTTACCTCATAAGTGAACTATTTTATTGAATTTGAACACGATTATTTTTATTTTTTTTAACATTCATTTATTTTTGGGAGAGAGAGAGAGAGAGCAGGGGAGAAGCAGAGGGAGACACAGAATCTGAAACAGGCTCCAGGCTCTGAGCGGTCAGCACAGAGCCCGACGCGGGGCTCGAACTCACAGACCGCCAGATCATGACCTGAATGGAAGTCGGACGCTTAACCGACTGAGCCACCCAGGCACCCCGAATTTGAACACTAGTTTTGAAATGCAAATTTATTATTTTTAATTGTTCGTTGATTTTTAAACTAAAGAACAAATCGGTTAGATTATTAGGGCTGATAATTTTGTAATCACTTCTGAAATTAATCTTGTCACGTAGAGAAAGTATCAGAGATATTGTCCAGGTGTCCAATACTCTACATATTCCATGGCCTTAGACTCAAAAGATGTGCAAGACCTCTACCCAAAAAGCTATACAATGTGTTGGGAGTTATTAAAGATGTAGAGAGGTGGAGGGATGTATTCTGGTGAAGGATTGAAGGATAATTACTGTCATATATTAATTCCCCCCAAATCGTTTATTATAAAGTCAAATCAAAATCCCCTTAATTTTTTTTAATTCTCAAGTTAATTAACATACAGTGTGATCTCAGGAGGAGAACCCAGTGATTCATCGCTTACCTATGACACCCAGTGCTCATCTCGAAAAGTGCCCTCCTTAATGCCCATCCCCCATTTAACCCATCCCCCACCTACCTTCTCTCCAGTAACACTCAGCTTTTTCTCTGTATTTAAGAGTCTGTTATGGTTCCCCCACCCCCCGTTTTTAATATTATTTTTCCTTCTCTTCCCTTATGTTCATCTGTGAAGTTTCTCAAGTTCCACATGAGTGAAGTCACGTGATATCTGCCTTTCTCTGACCTGTTTCGCTTAGCATAACACCCTCCAGTTCCATCCAGGTTGCTGCAAATGGCAAGATTTCATTCCTTTTCATCGCCAAGCAGTAGTCCATTGTCTACACACACCACATCCTCTTAATCTGTTCATCAGTTGATGGACATTTGGGATCTTTCCATAATTTGGCTGTTGTTGATAGAACTGCTCTAAACATGGGGGTGCCTGTGCCCCTTCGAATCAACATTTTTGTATCCTTTGGATAAATTCCTAGTAACGCAGTTGCTGGGTCAAGTTTGTAATGGACTATAAAAGAATATAAATAAATTTTAACACAATAAATTTTAACACAAAATTGAAACGATGTGCTTACCAAAAGTCACTATTAACAGACTAAAAAGATAAGCCAAGGAATGGGCGAGGTATTTGACATACATGTAACTGACAACTAACTCATATCCAGAATACATAAACCTTGAACCAACGAATCCAAAAAGCCAGACACAATATAATGCATTCTGAGTGATTCTCGCTGGGGCATTTTGGAGATTGATTCCCATTTCCAGCAGTTGAATGTATAACTTAGTGTTCATTAGGTATATGATCTAATGTTATTATTTATGTTCTGGAAGGGTCAAGAATAGGTAGGGTAAGCCATAGCTTTACCCAAAGTGGGCATGCTATGATAAAAGCCTGTATAAATCATCTTAAATATTGCATATTAGGTTTTAGTTCATTTCACTGGAAAGCTTTGCCTTTTTCTATAAATAAGAAAGGTATCCTGCTTTTTTTCTGTACCAAAATGCACTTGCTCTGCATGAATAGAATGACTTTTTTCCAGAACAGAGACTTTAAGATTCTGAAATCATTAATGCCGATGTTTTCATAAATGACAAACGACCCCAGTGTTGTAGGCAGGTATAACTTACCGTTTGATGTTTCAGTTTAATCCAGCTTTCGTTGATACGAGCTCTTTTTGATATAACATAAGGGGGGGGGAATGAAAGATACTTTCTCCTTGGAAAGTCAAATATTTAGTCAAGTTTAAAAAGTATGTGCACGAGCCCCATAGCAATAGTAATGAATGGTAAAAGCCATTCTCCAAGGATTTAGTATAGCACGGTCATTTTTCATCTCTATTATTTTTTGGTCATTTCTTTTAAAAATCCAGCCCATTGCCTTTTCATGTTATTATGTATGGCTTTTTTCCCCCCTCAAGATTTCTGGGCTGTTGCTATAGCAAAAATAATGATGAAATTTTGCCTAATGTTCTTTTGCTCTTGAGTTTCAAACGAACAACGGTGTGGTGCATCCTGCGTTTGCCATATTGACCACGGTAGGTCTTATTTATGTAAGAGAGGAAGGTCTCCTCAGCGCTTCGCCAATCCATTTATTTGGAGGAAGAGTAACTGTACCAGTGAGCACCCGTTTCCCCATTTCTACAGTCCATATTCACTGGAAAGAAGAATAAAGTTTTAAGCTGAATTCATAGGGTGCCATTTCCATATGTTTCTCCTAAATTTAGTCAGTGATCCCGGCAGAGTGCTTAGGGATGCTTTAACATAACCAGTAAGGGTATGTTGCGCTCATTTATTCTATAAATATTTATCATCGCTTACCATCAGCCAGGAGTAGGCCAGGTACCACGGATGCAATGTGGAAAAGACAGACATGGTCTCTGCCCTCATAGGAGACATGAGCTCCTATCAGACACAGAAAAGTTCACCGTAGTGACCCAAATGTTACAAAGGCACGGGGAATTATTGAAGCATCGGGAGGGTCACCTGATCCAATCTTAGAGAATCGGGGAAGGCTTCCTGAAAGAGGCAGTGGCTAAACACAGACACGACGAGTAGAAATTAAGCGGGCAAGAATGAATCAAAGGGAGAATGTCAAGTCTTCAACTGGAGTGTGGCTTTCAGAGGTGTGGGGGGGGGGGGGCTGTGTGCCAGGATGGGGCCAGAGAGCACGCAAGGCCAGATTTTGAAGGATCTTGCAAGCAGAGACGAAAACTTTGGGTTTGACGATCGGTGCAATAGGAAGCCACCGAAACTGCTGGGCGTGTGAGCTGTATCTGCACCAGAACGGGCTCCGGAGGGACAGAATCTTAAGGCTGATTCTCTGAGTCAGTGGCTGATCCATTTCAATGCCACTGGGGAGTGACAGGCCCCTCCGGGGCTGTCATTTGAGCGCCGGTGGATGAACTTTCGTGCTTGGAGAATTGTGTGGCACCGTCTGAATTGCTGAACGGAACAAAGAGCGGGTAGGGTGGTGGTTGACACAGCTTTGGAATGAACCCTGTTTCACTCAGCTGGAAATTTTCCTCTCGTGCACTCAGCTTTAGAGTGAATTTAGAGGGAGGAAACTAATGAGTAGGCTGGGTCCGCACGGGGAGAGTTCAGGACGTTGGTCACCGTGGTCTTTCCGGAGTCTCTCTGGCGGTTGCCGAGAATAACATCATCATGGCTGCGCAGAGAAAGGATCGTTTGTAAGGCGCGTTGTCTCCTGGCCTCCTGGTCTCCTGTGCTGGGGGGAGTTGGGAGGCAGGTCACTGCTCCGGAAGCAGGGTGCAGCACCACTCTGGGGTGCTCAGAGAATTGTGTTCTTCACCACAGTGTAGGCTTAGACGGAACACAAACTTCAGTGCAGACCCTCCATCAAATCCTTGGGGCTGTTCCATTGAGGGAGACTCCAATATGGCGTCCTCCCTCCAGGCTGCCCCCATTCCAGGGCAGCGGCTTCCTAGAGGGCCGGCGCTCCCACGTTTCTCCATGCCTCAAACGCTACCCATGACACTGGTGACAGTGCCTCTCAGCTTTAACTGCATGTTAGGGTCACCTGGACAGAATTCTAAATCCCAGTGCTCGCAACCATTGAATCCCCAAAAGGAACTGGAATCATGATTGACCTCTTGACCGACTTTTGGGAATGTGGCTCTCAGAGTACCCTTTATGTAATGACTGATGGTTTTGTTACCTACACCTACAGCGATGAGACATGCCACACTAGCCTGTCAGGTTGCTCTTCACAAGCATCAAGATTCCTGGGGCGCCTGGGTGGCTCAGTCGTTTAAGCGTCTGACTTCGGCTCAGGTCACGATCTCGCAGGTCGTAAATTCGAGCCCCGCATTGGGCTCTGTGCTGACAGCTTGGAGCCTGAAGCCTGCCTCGGATCCCATGTCTTCCTCTTTCTCTACCCCTCTCTGACTCTTACTCTGTCTCTCTTTCTCTCAAAAATAAATACAAATTAAAAAAAAGATTGATGACATATACCTGATTTTCTGTTTACGGCCCTGAGTTTCTGTCGTCATGGCTGGATGCATAGCAAGAGATGCCTATGAGACCAGCCCCCCAGACTCACAGGGCCCTCCCCGGGCAGAGACATATCACATATGTCCCCATATTTCTATGTGTACCCATCTAGTTCCAGAAGGGAAATGATGCAGAATCCCATGCCTGAACTCTCTGGACTCCACTGATGCAAATCTTTTCCCTGCTGCTTTTGCTCGGTATCATCGCTATGATAAACCAGAGCCGTGAGTATAGGATGCTTTTCATGAATGAATACATGAATGCAACGAACAATGAAATGAAATGGCCATCAGACACTTGCGTTGTCTCTTTTCCAGTGACGAAGGAGTAAATCTGTATTAAGGTGCCTTTACTATAAACTGTAAAACCCCTCTAACGAAGATGGCCTCCTCTCAGGGAAACATTTAACATACATGATCAGAGAGAACTTAAGGAATGCCTGAGTGTTTCCAATCTTGGATACCTCTTTTCTAACTTCGCTCCAAAGAAACACTTCTTGGAGACCAGAATCTTCCCATCAGATTGCTGGCCAAACAGGCATACTTCCCTAGTGCCTGTTCTACTCACCTGCGGTGGTGTGACGGGGACAGTTTCCTGCCCAGGAAGAAAAAAATGCTGTAGTCTCATGCCACATCCCCATCACAGAGCAAGTCAGACATCTACAGCACGTGAGTTACCTGACTGCACGTGCAGGTGGTGGAGAATGGCTTAAAATGGACGGAAATGATTTCCACTGGGTCCGCTGACGGAGGCTAGAGTCACTGGGAACGGGAAAAGACAAGGTAGCCGTGCTTCTGAATCTGTGCAACTATGTCCCAGACCCTGTTCACACATTTCACAGGGAGGATGTGGCAGGAGGGGAGATGGAATAGGTGAGTTTTTGATGGGTATGACCTTCAGGCGTAAAGAAGGTGAGAGCGGCGAAGGAGAGCAGATGTTATAAAGCATATAGCCCTTTGCAAGATCCTTACTGATGCTCATACTCAATGATCTTGAGTTAAAGTTTTTAAAGACCTTTCTCCAGATTCCTCTGTCCTCTGTGTTTCAAGAAGCTGCGGCAGACATTTCTTCCCGAGGTTGACATTTTCATCAGAAGAGAAAGCCTGGGGAGTTTGATGATAGCTGATCACAGGATTCCTGGATAACCAGCATGGGCTTTCCCCTCTTGGTTCTCCTCTAATTAAGTGATCACAGCCACCTCTCTTGATATGTCTGCAAGGGGCCGGAGATAGTTGGCAACTAATCTGTCGGTCGTGCAGAGGACACAAATGGGCTGGGTCAAAGTAGTGGCCGGGTGTCTTCTCTTCACTTCACATTATTTATCCGGGGTTTGGTCCGCAGGCTTGAAAAGAAGGGTACAAAACATTGTAAATATATACTATCTAGGAGACTTACCATGTTCTATTCTAGGCAAAAGATCTGAAATTCGAGTTGTTCAGTAGTAATGAAAATGAATCTTCACACAGGCCCAGAAATACTACGGAAAGCTATGAATAATAAATTTGGGTGAGTCAATATTATTTTGATTGTGCTAGAATAACTCATTACATAAAGGAATTCTGTGATGACTATTTCTGCGGAATGAGAAAACATCCTGTTGAGTTTCTCCGCATTTTATTTTTAAAAATTTTTTTAAGTTTATTTATTTATTTTGGGAGACAGAGACAGCAGGGGAGGAGCAGAGAAAGAGGGGGAGAGAGAGAAAATGCCAAGCAGGCCCCACGCTGCCAGTGGAAAGCCGGATGTGGGGCTCGAACTCATGAACCGTGAGATCATGACCTGAGCCGAAATCAAGGGTTTGGCTCCCTGCATTTCAAACTGTTTTACAATTTTTCAGAAGGTTGTGTGTACCACTAAGCACACTATTAGACAAAAGATGTTGAATGTTCGGTTGTCGTTGTTGTCCCTTTGTCTATCTCCTCTGGGATATTGAAGGCATGATGACAGACCTGAGTGACTGCAAATCAGAGAATTATTTTTTGTTCTTATCTATAATGGCATGGAACACAGTTATGCCACAGAAGTTCCCTATGCAGGTAACAAACAAATCAATCGAAAATCATCCGAGCATTCCCGTCCAGAGCTGTCAAGTGTAGAAAGCAGTTAGGTGACCCTGCCAGGTGGTCAAGCATCAGTGACTCCTCTCCTCTTCCTGTGTCCTGTTCAACCTAAGGCATGTTTATTTCAGACCTCCGGGGAAGGGTACCAAAACGGGATCTTCACCGGACACCGTGCTGGGAAGTACAAAGACACCTTTGGCCTTAAAGCACACATGCTGTAATTAGATCGACTCTTTGCAGAAATCCAGGTGGAGGGCACACAGATGCAAACCTAAACCGTGCACAGCTTGAGCTTTCCAAAGTAAAACCGAGAATAGAGAACAAGCCAGCAAAGTGCTGTGTGTGACCCTCCTGGAGTCCGTGGAGCGTCACTATGGCCAGATGTTACTGCTTTGTCCTTGATATAGACAAGGAAACAGAGGGCGTCCAAGGTCAAACCACTTGTCCACAGGCATAGCTGGGAAGTGACAGTGTTGGGAGTTGCAGCCAGAGGATCCGCTTCCAGAGTCAGTGCTCTACACAGGATGACCTCGCTGGAGCGGCCACATCGATTTCAGCTCAGCACTAAGCTCTGATTTCCTTTCGGATCCCCTTGTAGGTGTGGATCCTTTGTATGTAAGGATTTTTCAACGCCTGGGCTTGCTAATTATACATGCATGTAAAATAGCTCTCATCTGTGCATATGTGCCCTCGCATCCTTCTCAAATGCCTTGCAAAAGAAAGGTGATGGGTGTCTCTTGTTTCCCTACCTATTCACTACCCCTGATTTCAGGCAATATTTTTAGTCCCGAGACAGTCTTCATTTCATCGGTCTTGAGGCGATGAGCTGGAGAGAGGAGAGTCCCCGCTGATCCCTGTCATAACTGATAAGTTCCACTGGGACAGAAAGCCCTGGCTGGCTTCTCAGACTTCTAAATTAGGTCCGTAAAAGGGCACCGGGTTCCAACAGCAAACAGCGCATCTTCCTTCTAATTCCATTTTTAGACCAAACAATTGTGCCAGAGCCCTGTAATGCCCAAACCTAAATCTTATTCTTAATGTTGACCGCCTCAGTGAGTATTATGGTTCCAGCGGCAAAGAACCAGGTTTGCCACTGGAGCCAAAACTTAGGTGAAAATAACCTGCAAGTAGTTTCTGAATGCCTATTATGTGTTTATCGCTAGCGATGGAAATATGGATGGGATATTGACCCTCTCAACGCAGGGGAGAAATCAGATAGTGACTATTACAACACAACCACGTGTGCAGAGGAAATTTTCAAGGATTTTTCTCAGTCCTTCCTTCTCTATGTTTTCCCTCTCCCGTGACCTCCTACCACTCATCCCCCTCTATCACCTTATGCACCCTAAACCTTTATGCTCGCCACTGGCTTTCCTGGGCCACCTGGCATGATTTCCTTTGAAGACCTCAATTTTTCCATAGCAGCCAAGTTCCTGACCTGTCCCAATCCTACTCAACAAAACCCAGTTTTCCTGTGTTCTACTTCCTCAAGCAGCCAGTAAGCTGGTCCAAAGATGTTAATTTCTAACAAAGGTCGAACAATCATTTATGCATTAACAGTCATTTATTAAATCTTGAGCAAATGCTGACAAAGACAATCGTCTCTGAAAGACATGAACATATGGGTAAGGAGCTGGAGTTTGAAAAGTGTCTACTGGGCTTTTTCACATGAGATTCCCAATCCTATCACAATGTCCAATTTGAAATACTCACCATTTATTCTGGACCTTCCGGAGACTTCTCTGATCTGTATGCACTTTCATTGGAGAATTTTATTTTCCTCTCCAAAGATGGATTTTGTTAGTCAAGGCATCAGCGGCAAGTTTAAATTTGCATTTTAAATTTAGAATGATTTATTTTCAATGAAAGGTGCATCGCTGCTGCAGTCAGTCTAGCAGGGACAATAGGACAAAAGATTTATGAGAGAATATTAGACGTGTGAGCTTCCCAACAAAGGAAGAGATTGGCACATTCGATTTTATCATATAAAATCTCTGTCTGACAAAAGATTCCATAAACAAAATTAAGTGACAAACAACAGATCTAGAAACAGTACTTGAAACGTACATAATCAGAGGGCTAGCAGTCAGACTTTACGAGAAGCTCCCCGCATTCAATAAACGAAGAACGAACAACCTAATTTATATGTGGCAAAAAATAGCACTCAGAGAAAAACACAAGTGATTCATAAGCACATGAGAAGAAGCCTGACTTAACTAAGCAAAGCCACGTGAGCTTTGTGAGTATCGGATCGGCAAGGTTAATGAGATTAACACTGAGTGTTATCGTTGGTGAACAGCACATCAGTTGTCACTATAAAGTGGGAGAGTCAACTGGCCCCACTTCTCTGTAGAGCAATTTGGCAACCTTTATCAGAAATGTAAGTCAAAAATGTAAGTCAGCAAATCCTCCAAGGATCTATCTGGCATAAATACTTGCCAAAGTGGACTAATGGTAGCCTCATCATAGTGAAGTCTTGGGCGCCTGGATGGCTCAGTTGGTTAAGCATCTGACAGTTGATGTCGACTCAGGTCATAATTTTGTGGTTTGTGAGTTCACGCCCTGCATCAGGCTCTGTGCTTACAGTACGTAACCTGCTTGAGATTCCCTCTCTCCCTCTCTCTCTGCCCCTCCCCTGTTCATGCTCTCTCTCTCTCTCTCTCTCTCTCTCAACATAAATAAATGATTTCTTAAAAAGGATAAAAATAATGAAGTCTTGAAAACAATCTCAATGTTGGCCAACAGTTATGCATAACATCCACGCCATGCATGCAAAGAAGCTGAAAAATGAGTAAGGGTATACTTACATGGAAGAATGTCCCTTTCTTTATTTTTTAAAGGGCAACATGTCCACGATTTATATTTTTGTAAATAACAACACTATTATCATATATGTGGATGTAAGTATGGGTGTGTGTTCATAGAAAAAGTGTCTAGATGAGGCAAACTGTTGGCAGGGACCTTTAGGGAGGAACCTGAGATAGCGACAAGGGAGTATTTTCTTCCAAATTAATCTCCAAGTTGGATTTTTAAAAATTACTTTCATTATTACCGTACCTTAAGAAAACAGAAAGATTCTAGAATGTTCTCACAAAGTGGTATACCAAAATACACCGACTCCATTATAGTGTTGTTATGTTCTAGAATTCCTATATTTCTTTAAATACCCCCACTGATAATGCACATTTACCCACCGTTCTCACTGAGTATTTAAAATGCTGGAAAGCACACTGTGCTGTAAGTCAGGACATGAGTTCGAGCTTCTGTTCCATCGTGACCCAGCTGTCTGATTGCAGACCACTCGCTCCACCCCTTCTGAATCTCTTAAAGTTGAAAGTTGACCAAGATGAGTTGTTTTCTAATTCTGCTCCCCACAGACACAAGGGTTTTTCTCCACACACAGCCCCCCAGCACTCTGCTTTACAGCTCTGTTTCTCTCTCCTAACGTTTTGTCTGATTTCTGAGCAAAAGTCATTTGAAAATATCCAGAAGAAATTACGTTAAGGCTCCTTGAAGAGCAAATAGTTCTTGAGTCTATGAAATCCAGGCTCTGTTCAGGGGATGCGGACTCTTCAGTCAGTCCTTAGATCACTCCAGCTAAGAAGCTGCTTGTTTTCCCCTTACATCAGGCCAGAAGCACAGACCTCCTTTGTTTTCTCCAGAACGTAAAGTTGGACTGTTGAGGCTCTAACAGAGATGCATGAGAAGAAACAAAGTGCATGCATCAGAAAGCAAGGGGCAGAGTGGGCTGCTGGGGAGAAGGGAAAATTTTGATCCCCCCTTTCTTCCAACGGCCATTGGGCCAGTTGGCATTACCCCTGGCATGATGATTTTGCTTTGCTCATGAACATACTCTGCTCAGAAATAATAGTTGGTGGCGAGCCCCGAGGATCCATTCATCAGGGAGCTGTATTTCATGCTGTACAGTTAAAGGTCAGACCAGAAACCAGCAGTAGCTCTTAATCGGGAGCTGTGGGAGGAGAGAACCCAATCTTCCCTCTCAAGGCCAATGAAATCGAGGGCCTGCATTCAGGGTCAGCCCCGTGCATCCCAGCAAGCTGGGTAAAATTTAACATCAGGGGTCCTTTTCTTTGACTTAGGTGAAGAGACCAAACTGAGAATTTCTAGGGAGTCCTAAATGGATATAGACGTAGCAGACTTAGAACAGATGTTGTTGTACCTTTTCTGCCCATCCCATCCTTTAAAGGATGTTACAAACGCCACTAACCTCACCGCTGTAGCACCACGGTCTGCATCACGAGGTAAAAAGCCACGAAACTGCTCACGAGGTGAAGGAGAATGCCAAGGCTCAGCACACACTGGTCATACTCCCCTTTCACAACCCAGGCACGATCTACAAGGCCACGTTACAGGTGAAACAGGCACAATGTATGAGACCACGTTAGAGGTAAAACAGCCAGATGGGTTATTTATTTTGTCATCCTATGTTTTCCCTCAGGTAAGTCTTCAGACCCAGTTTAAAAATCACAGACTAAATCTACTCAGCTTCAACTCTTTGAATTTCCCCGTTGCCTTTCAACACTTCGATATACACCGCATTTTGCCGAAATTAGCTCTTACTCTGTGGCTTTGTGTAATTGAAAGAGGGGTCTGTCTCCTATCCTCTTGTATCCCGTCAGAGACTCGAATGAAATCCTAACAGCCAATAGGTTGAGTCTAAAATGGTTTTTGCCATTGAAAAGACAAGCTACAGTTTAGAAGCAATCTAACATATGTTAAATCACTAAATACGCATATTAAATATGACAGTGTAAATAGGTGAGTCAGACACTTTATAGCGCGATCTACAAAGGAAGGGGAGAGTAGATAGATGGGAACTACCCCCGTGATTAAAATAAAAATAAATTTGCATCGCCACATGGCTACCACGTAAAGAAATTAAAAACATTTTTTTAACATTTATTTATTTTTGAGAGACAGAGAGATAGACTGCGAGCAGGGGAGGGGCAGAGAGAGAGAGAGAGGGAGGCGCGGAATCTGAAACAGGCTCCAGGCTCTGAGCTGTCAGCACAGAGCCCAACGCAGGGCTCGAACCCACGAACCGTAAGATCATGATCTGATGCGGAAGTCGGACGCTTAACTGACTGAGCCACCCAGCCGCCCCAACAATTTTTAAGCACCTCCAATGTATCCGGTTTGGTATAATTTTCTTACTGACACAATAATGCTGAGAAACAAACCACCCCAGAACTCAGTGGCTTGAAACGCTAAATATGTAGCTCAATGGTCTATTGATTAGTGACTTGGATTGGGCTCAGTTGGGTGGTTCTTCTCATCCAGGCTCAGCCCACTCACTTGTCTGGGGCTGCGTGGTTATCAGGTGTCAGCCGGGGTAGAGTTACCTGGGTCATGGGTCACTCATCCTCCGGGAGGCTAGCCTCGGCATGTTTCCGTGGTTGTGGCAGAAAGCAAGCGCCAGAGCGAGTTCTAACATCCAGCTGCTTTAACAGGCTTCTGTTGGTAGCGTGTTTGCTAACTGGCCATGTTTCCTACTGGCCAAAGAGCATTGTGTGACTGAGCCCAGAGGCAGGGCAGGAGAGCACTACAAAGTTATAGGGTAAAGAATTTGCATACTTGAAGAAATAATGATCGAGGCCATAAATGCCATCTCCCCACAGATTCTGTTCTAGTTTAATTGATTCCATCTTATTTGACTTCACAGTAAGTTCTACTATCCCCATTTAGCAGATTTGAATACTAAGGAGGAGAGAGAAAGGCTATCCTTCTGTAACTGATAGAGGCACTACTTCTGCTCTGATATATGATCTTCTGTCTCCACACATTTTGGAGTTTCTTGAACCTTGACTATTTACAAAAAATTTTTTTTGAAAAATTATGGCAAGGAAAAAGAGAGAGAAAGAGAGACAGGGAAGACTTACAAATAGAGAATGGCAAAGTTACGAACGAAGAATTTCGTTTCCTTATCCCACTGGGTTGTGATTCCTTTCCGAAAGGGATGAGCCAAGAATATGTAAGTCATACCCAAAGAAAAGATCAAAGAAAAGGAAAAGGAAAGGAAAGGAAAGGAAGGGAAAGGAAAGGAAAAGGAAAGAAAGAAACAAAAGAGAAAAGAAGAGAAAAAGAAAACAAATCTTACTGAGTTCATTGACACCCAAAAAGAATACCAATTGGATTTTTTTGAGTGGGAACTAGTCAAAATGGCTCTAAAAAACATGTGTGAAACTAATAAATAAGAATAGCCAAGAACATCCTGAAACATCAGAGTATTGGAAAGTCGTTTGCCTTTCCATATACTGTAACACATTATAAAGTTACAGCAATTTTTAAAGTGGCACTGCCACATGAACTGACAGAGCAATAGATAGACCTAGAAAGGATGAAAGGAGACCGGAATCCAATATAGGAATTTGGAACACAATCAAGGTGACAATTCAAATCAGTGAGGAAATGATGGATTACTTAATAAGTGATTCTGTGATAACTGAATAGTCGTCTCAAAATTTTATTGTCTTTCTGCGACACCTTATACTAAAAATTTTTTTTACATCTGTCAAAGTGTCGAAAGTGAAATGAAACGGTAATAGTATGAGAACGAAACATGAGTATATTTTAAAGTTAATTTCAATGGGGAGGTCTTTTTAGGTTCGACACAAAACTCCAATCCCACCAGACACCAGCTGAGGGACTGTGGAATATACCTCAGCATTATCCCATTGGGGTATGAGGAAACCGAGTGATTTATCCAGAACTCCTGGGGCATTAACTCCCAGCACTTATGGCTATTGCAAGAAACCTTCACAGTAGGCCAAGTAGTAGGAGAGGACACCAAGGGCATGTGGTAAGTTTGGGAAGCAAACATTGTGTGTGAATGTCATTCATTAGGTGAAATGGTGGTGCTCGTGAAATCTGATTACGGGAAGAATAGCACCATATATCTCTTGCTTGTTCAAAGCACATGGAACATCTTATAAGATGGCCCTCCAAATTGGGAAAGCTGTGGTCTCTCAGCTTCCCTCATAATTGGATCTTCCAAAGACTATTCTACCATTTTTAAGGTCAGCTT